GGCCGGGGGCGAGCTGCCGGCCCTCACGGCGGGGCGGGAGAGTGGGGAGCGAGCCCGGGCCCGGTGCCAGCTTGCCCCCAGGCGGCCTGTCGGGGGGAGCTGTCCCCGGGGGGAGCTGTCCCCGGGGCGATGGCGCCTCTCCCAGCCGCCTGGGCCTGGGCCCCGACTCGCTCGGGAACGAACAGGTTTTGAACCGAGAGCCACATCTCTCGGGCACTGGCTGAAATAAACACAACTTGATGGACAAAAGGCCTGCATGTTGCTAGTTGCAGAGTCAGAAAGTTCCAAAAATAGAAAACTTGCTTTGTTGTAAGGGGGAGGGGGGCAAATAGGGTTACATGTGGACACTCCTCTGAGCGTTGCATAGCTCTCTACCTGAAGTCTTGGGAATAAAGTAACGGTGAGGGGTGAGTGGGCACAGCTGGTCGCCTGGGACTCAGCGCTGTCGTTGGGTCTGTGTGGCTAAGCCCCTTCCATCTACATGGATTGCAGAATCAAGTCCATTGCTAGTTTGACTGCTTTAATCAAAATTGCTCTAGTAATTACAAGCTGCAGGTAGAAACACCTGATTTGTTTTGAAGTTTGCTTTTCCTACCAGCCAACTGGGTTTGAGAACAAGAAGTGAACTGGAATAGACTTGGATATTCCACATTATGTTCTGTGCAAAAAAGGAAAACTGCTATTGAAGGAATAGCCCCAACCCTTCACTGCATTTGCTCTTAACTTATGTTCAGTTTAGGGTGCTGCTACTTTTAGATTTCAGCCGCCAAGGAAGTTCTGTTGAGGTTGGTGATAAATTGATCTTTGATATCTTTGTTTAAATCCCATTTTCCATGTTGGTTTGCACTGAGTTAGTTTAACAAGCAAATAATACTCAGTTGCAGCTGATCGTGCCAGGCTATCTTCTAGCTCTGCAAATACTCTTTTAAACATAATGTGGGTTGATTGTGAATACTGTATTGGACTTCTAAGTCAGTGCTTGTGCTTAAAAAGGGCCAGAGAAGAATATCTAATTGTTTTTGCACCTCCTACTTCAGTGCTGACAGATTGTTTCGTGTGATTCCTTGCTCTCTATCCAGAGCTGAAGTTCTGGGCACTTAAATTCTGTGTTGGGAAAATGTAGTTGCATCTGCGATGACATGCAAGGTGCTGTACAGCTGCTGAAGCCTCCTTTGCTGTTGTAGCCCTAGATAGCTGTGAGACATTCTGTAATGTGAGACTTTGATTGTGAGGCACTCTGTAACGACAGACAAAGCTTAATTTGTCAAGAGAAATGTTTTCTTCTTCATTTCTTCCCCTTTATGTGTCTACGTTAAATCTAATTATGCTGTTGTGTAACAGAGTAGGTTTAAAGGCAGCAACAAACATTCAGTGGCCTAATCTAGCACTTGCAAGAGAACTGAAGTTCATGCAAGTTCTCTATTGGCTCTTAGACTATTACAAGGCCTCTGGAAATATACAGTGATTTCACTTTAGTGGGCAAACTGGACGACTTGGAAGCACCATTGGAGAGACCCATTCCTTTGAAAACAAAGAGCAAGACAACTGTTTCCTTGTAAAGCAGAATCTAGGGGAGAGGAGCATATACTGGGGTGGTGGGAGAATGAGACTCAGGTCCTTTGTACCACCTTGTTACTCTGGAAGAATAAATTGGACTCTATTTCTGAAGCTCTCCCTCTGCAGACAGGTGACAACAGCATGCTTAGACCTCAGAGCAAGACCTGGTGACCAGGATTAAAGCAGGATAGGAGTTTGACACTCCCTTTCGACGGGCTGTCAGCTAAATGTTTGTTTTCCCAGTGAGCTGGTACAAAAGCCAAGAGTAAGAGGTTTATCTTGGACCTTCAACTTTACCTGCATGTGGTTCTCACCATCACACCCGAGCCTGTGCTGGATGTGGCATTCCTTCAATATGAAATCCTGCTGGCCATAGTCTTTACTTGTGTGTTACAGAATTCGACCAGTACTGTGAAGAGGACACAGCTAGAAGTAATATCTAATAGACGGCATAGATACATCTATCAGAAAATAAGTGGATGCTTACTAACTTTATATTTTAATAGAATATAACAAAACTTTCTTCTCTTCTCCCCTCCCCCCCAGCTTTAAACACATTCCTTGTCTGGGAGGAGTTCCTCTGTCTATCAAATCTACTATGCCACCTCCCCCCCCGCTCTTCTTATGCTCCTATAAGCAGAATGTTAGCTGGTAGGTTTAAGTATCCATCTCTCATATTATGGCTTACAAGGCCCACAAATAATTTCTAAAAGAGGCAGCCTTCTCAAGGGAGGCCTAAAATGCTTCTTTTCTTGCTTTTCTAATTCAATTGCATCCAGATAGTTATGTTTTTATTAATCCATTTTAGAACAATAGTCAGAACACATTATGCTATAAAACAAAAACTCATCCTCCAACATATCGTATGCTTGATCTCTTTTCTTTAGCATGCTCATAAACCAGAGTGCAGTGCCAAGTGCTTAATGTCATGTGTGATAACTTGAATTTAGTGCAGGGTCCTTCCCATGCCATTTCAAGCTTCATTTAAAAGTTGAGGAGAAAGGAGAATCTTATTTTATGGGCTTAACTTATTTCAGTTCATCTTGGAGGGAGCTAGTGACGATTTGGAAGAAATAAAAAGTCATAAGAACAGCTTTGTCCTTCCTGTTTAAGATTAAACTGTTTCAGCTTTTGTTTCATATGGACTTTGAGCCAGTCAATGGAAAAAACAGAAGAGGAAGTACAAAAAAAGGGAGATAGGGAAGAAGTGAGGGTGCTTAGTAACCTGAGACTGCAGAATACAGGAAGCACACGTATGTCTAGAGAACAGCTTTGAAAGGAACTGGTGGTGAGTCAGGCAGCAGTCACTCCAGCCTGTCTCTTCCCCATGTTGCAAGAGTGGTAGCTGTAAGCTTGTGTGTTTTCCAGTTAAACTTAAAAGTGGTCTCTGATAGTCACGTTGGATTGCTACAATTGCACATTTGTTCCATTTGTTAAGTCCTGGAATACTAGTTGTGCCTTACTGAATATCTTCAGCTGAGATCTACCTTGTCTCTCTGCAATACAAGCTGGGTACACACAGCTATAATATACAATATTATACCTTGAGATGCCTCATTCTAATGTATTATTGGGAAATACTGAAGACCGCTTTTCTCCCCCTCACCTTCCTCTTCTGTCCACTAGATTAAGCAACAATGGCATTTGTGAAGAGTGGCTGGCTGCTCCGGCAAAGTAAGTCATGGGCCTTTTACCTCCTTTTCTCCCCACTGTGTCTAACTTCCTCAAGAAACGTCAGAGCAACTTAGTAATTCCCCGGTCTTTCTTAAAACAAGTCTCTAGCTCTGTGTGTTGTTTTTTTGGGTTTGGGTTTTTTTTTGTTTTTTGGTTTGGTTTTGTTTTACTTTTAGGACACTTCACAAAATGACGTGTCAAGACAGCATTTCCATGTGACCTTTTGGGTATACCAGTGGGAAACAGGATGTACCATATCTGAGGTGTCTGACTGGCATTCAGCTTCAGATGCTGCTCTGTAATTAGTGCTGTACAAGTGGAGACTTGGAAACTTTACCTGACACCTTACCTTAATGTCTTCAATTAGTCGTGCCCTCTGCTTGTTCTTGCAGCAAGTTAAAACTAAAGCGCCAGGTTATGCACTTAAAATAAACTCAGTTGTGACTTTGAATACTAGATAAAATATGGAACCGAATTCTGTAATGTTCTGAAGTGGAGATGTTGTAGTACAGGATTTTGCTTGGCACCTCAGAATGTCTGGAGCAACTGTGAAGGATTTCTTGGTTTATTTTTTATTAACTCTAGGACACAAATACCTCCCAATATGAGTCCTCAAAAGTGATTGTCTGATTTTTAAGGTACTATTTTACGGCGTTGGAAGAAGAACTGGTTTGACCTGTGGTCTGATGGCCGCTTAATATTCTATGATGATCAAAATCGCCATGATATAGAAGATAAAATCCACATGCGAATCCATTGCATCAACCTCAGAGTGGGGAATGAATGTCGAGGTAATAATGAAACCTTCAGGATTTGTGTATTCAGAGATTCTTTACAACTTCAGTGCCTGCCCAGCATACCATTTACAACACTACTGCAGAAGTAAACGTGTCCAGGAAGTGTGCAACTTCACTGTTTTTAACCCCCCCCAACCCCAACCCAACCAACTACTAAATTCCCTTATAGATACGCAGGGTGTGGTATCACCATGTGATAGATTAGGTTAGGGTTTGATACTTCCTTTTAAAACTCAGTGAGGACGGTGTACCATATGTGCAGGTGGCAGGCAGGCACGTGAGGATGGGATGTTCACAGTACATTTGTGTGTCTGATTATAGTGTTACAGGCGTAATTATAGTGCTGGCTGGAGTGAGAGGCCGGCCTAGAAATGGGAAACCTCAGCAGATTTTTTTTCAAGTATTACTAAATTCACTTCTAGCATTTGTTAGTACTCTACTTGATGCTGACACAAGTGAAGGACCCAAGTGTTGGAGAGTACTTTTGCTACGTATGGATTGGTTCTCCTGTAAGACACTTGTACTTCTTAGGGACAATGTTCAGAGCTACTTACTTTCGGGACACTCTGAAGAGCAAGAACAGGTTATTTCCTTCTGTAATTTGTTCTGATGCCATGGAAAGCAGCTACAACTGGCCCTAGTTTATTTTGTCCAGACTTTTGCATAAACTCTCTCCCTTCTTGTAAATGCGATCATGAAATTCTGGTTATAGATATTTCATAACTCATCTCTTTTTTCTGACTCAGATTTCCAGCCTCCAGAGGGGAAGCAGAGAGACTGTTTACTGCAGATTGTTTGCCGTGATGGGAAGACAGTCAACCTCTGTGCAGAGAGTGCAGATGACTGCCTGTAAGTCTGCCAGAGAATATTGGTTTTGCTTCCTCTGTCTCTTTTATCTTTCTTTTTCTCTCCCTAATTATTTTCCTTCCTTTGGACTTTCAGAGATACATTTTAAGGAAGTTTTCAAGCAAGTAAAAGCAGGCTCTCAGTGACAAAAAATATAGCTCTCCTATAAGCAGTTGTCTAGCTCATGCAAACTAACTGCAAGTTAAGTCACTGAAAGCACCGAAGGGTGAGGAGGAGTAAAAGAATCTTATTAATATGATTAACGCAAGACATGCTGAACAGATTTTTTTTTACTTTTCCCATTCTTCAAATAGTACATGACCCTGCATCGCCCAAGGACATCCCAATCAGTAGTGAAAGGAATAATACTCCATTATTGTGAACTCTCAACTGAGCTTGCCTGTGTATAGTTAGATAACTCCTGTCATCAGTGGTTGCCAAGTATGCATGGTGCATCGATCAAGCATGCCCCCAGCCAATATGGCATGGGAGTATCTGAAGTATATGTACCTTCTGTTCAAACTGTAATAGTGTCAAGACCCACACTCTCTAGTCAGCACAGATGCAACTGTTCAGGCAGGAGATATAACTTCCCTGGTGCATCTCTTCCTATTTCCTTATCCTGAGCATGGCTGCCTGTTACCTGGCTGTTGTGCTTGCAGTGTGGACCTTCAAGACCACATCTGTTCTTTCTCATGCTCCCTCTCATTCCTTCTCAGCTCTGCAAAGAAAGTATTTTTTTCTCAATCTTGGTGTAATACCTTCATGCATTCATTTTAGTGTATCAATAGGCTTTGACATATGCAGTATTTTAAACTCTGCTCCTGCAGTACCTCTAGTTGCTAACTTTGTTTTTTTCATAGTCCTAAAAAGAAAAAGTGGTGTTAATTTTTATCAGTGTTCCATTAAACAATGGGGTTTTTTTTGCAGGGCATGGAAAATCGCTCTCCAGGACACCAGAACAAACACAGTAAGTGTACAACCTAGCCTTTATACTGATAGAGAAGCAGCACATCAGTGTTATGTGTGGTCCAGCAGTTTACTTCTGAAATCATGTCCCATCCTTCTCTGCTAGAGAAAAACAGGGTCATGAGCATGATGCTGAGGCTTGTGGGTGGGAGAAGAATGATCCTCTGGATCACAAGCACGTCATCCTTGCAGCCAAGTCCAGGCAAATACATGCTGAGTGGAAGTGAATGATTTCAGGGAATGATTTCTTTGGGTGGAAGTGAATGTTTGGGAAGCTGGTCTGTAAGAGAAGTGGGCACTGAGGCTGTGGGCAAAAAGTAAATCTACAACCAGTAAAAATGCACTTTCCACTCACAGTGTTTGTTGCCTACCAGGCGCAGTGCTAAAGAAAGCTTACTGCAAAGAAGCTGTTTGTTAATGTAGATCCATTACATTGTGGGATGCTTCTTGGCAGAGACTAGGGGAGCAGCAAGAGGTGCTTGGAGGGGAGTGCAGGCATGCCAAGAAGGAGCATATTACCTCTGCATTGGCATGCTAGCTGTGGAGAGTGAAGAGGTCAGGAATCATAAAAGCCTCTCTGTGAGTCTTGGAGTTCTCTAGAACTTTGGGGAACCACATCCATCCGCTTGTGGGTATTGTTGATTTGTTTTCCTCTAGACTGCCTTCTAGAGTACTCTTCAGCTTTAGCTTTCCTTAGATGGCTAGACTGAACCAACCTAAGATGTTTTTGTTTCGTGGGGAAATGCTGCATTTCATAGAAGCTTATCTCAGTTTTTGATGGGTCACATTCACATGGCCACTGTACTGAGGCATCTCTCATGTGATATAACTTAGATCTGTAGATACCCAAAGCAAACACTTGTCATAGCAAAACTATCCTGGACATGATTGCCTCTGCAGCTATGCAATGCTGCTTCCTGGTGTTAAATGAGAAGTGAAGGACTTGTCCTGATGCAGAGGACACTACACTCATGGTCTGCCTGCTCTAGTTTTAGGGGCTTTGTCTTGCTTACGTGTGAGATGCTGACTCCTGGTTTCAGGAGTTAGGACCTGCTGCTTTTCATGTCTCTCACTCAGCTGCCAGCCCTGCTAGATGGCATTCAAAACTTGCCAGTGCATCACCTTTGTCAGCCAAGGCAGACCCCTGTTACTGAAAGTAGGGCAGGTAGCTCTCTGCACAAGTAGTATCATAAATTAGTACTTTCCAAAGCTATTAAAGGTCTCCAACAAGGATTTGAACTAACCAGGTAACTGGGTTTGAGTCTATCTGTAGGTGTCTGACACAGCTTTCAAAAATACCGACCATCCAGCAGTGCCTCGTAACTTTACTGGAATAGCAGGGTGATCACCCTGGCTTTGAGAACTATGTGATTTACAGACATTTGCAGGCTTGTGTCATATGCCTGTACAGAGTTCCCTGTAGCAGAACAGAATACATTTATTGCTAAGATCTGAGCATTTGCTGAAGCTTTTCTCAGGTGGTGGAAATATCTGCCTCTTCATACAGTGCTTTCAACAGTGTGTTTCAAGCAATCCTTAGAATCTCCACCACAAGTTTGACCTGGGATATGGCCATAGTATGCCCTCAGAAGTCTTTCTACAGTCCAGGTACAAGAGACAATAGGAACATTCTCTATTGAGCTATTAAAGCGTTCACTTGTAAATTAAAAAAAAGGAGCTGTTTTTTTTCTTGGGATAGGGCACTGACTAAGAGCATCACTGTAGATTTCTGACATTAGGGGCAAGAATACAAGGCTACTGAGAGCTCCTTGTAGATGGATTCAAGTAAGTTATCACGCTTGCCTCACAGCTGCCTTCAAAAAGGACCAGAATTATAGGTGGCATTTGCAAAGTAATTCCCTAAAAACAACCAAGCCCCTCAAATCCCTACATTTAAACCTCTCTTATTGCATTTTTTTTTCCTCACAGCCAGAAAGTGAGAGGTGGCTATGGATGACAGTGTTCTGCTAAAATGTTCGGGTGCCCCTTTTGGCTACTGCGTTTGTTTCCTTTATCTGCTCTTACAGAACTTGGTGATACCACCCTAGGGTGCCAGGAAGCAGTTAGCTTAGTTGTGAAGGCTTTTTTTATCTGAAAACAGAGGATGAACAAGAGAGCAACTTCTAAAACTGAGTCTATGAAATGAGGGAAGGAGTTGGTATGCTTGCATACACATGTATGCATGTGTGTGTGCGCACACACACAGGTAAGAAATTTTATGGCTCCTTCCTGTGGTTGATCAGGCATTTGTGTTCTCCCAGGTCTGCTCTCCAAGTAGTTTCTTTTTGCAGCGCTTTATAAGGTACTCACTGCTTGCTTAACTTGCAGCACGTCTAAAGGTTACTCTTCCTTTGGGATCATTAAGTTTTAATCCTTGCACTACTCTAACTGGCTGTCTGTAGGAAAAGGTGATAACTGCTACCTTTCCATGGTGTTTAGGGCTACGTGGGATCTGATGTGATGTATGACGAGACAGCCATTTCCTCAGCTCCTCCTCCCTATACAGCTTATGCCACGCCATCACCTGAGGTAAGAGTTGCAGTTGGGAAGCATTAAAATAAGTGAGGTAGCAGAAGCGGCCATCCTTCAAGCACCCAAACTGTAGTCCCTAACTTTCACAGTTAGATCCAGCTTTAAGGTTTGTGCAAAATGAGAGTGAGAGTAAGGCGCTAACAATCTACTGTCACTCCTATTTGAGATGGGTTTCCTTTAGAAAGGGATGAGGCAAATTTGGTTGGGAGGTATATAAAGGGATGGCTGCTCAGTGAACTTGGAAAATAAAGCTTCTTAAAGACAGGGCACAAGTTATTTGGCTAATCTTGAAAAATATTGGCCATGCAGCTTTTAACATAAGGAGGTGTGACTATACTTTCACATTGCGTAAGCACTGGAAGGATATAAAATCAGGAGTTTTAAAAATAGGATTTAATGACTGGAGCTGTCACTTTTAACACATAAGGTTTGTTGTATCCAAGATGTCATGGCAACAAAATAACTCTAGCTTCTGGATGCACCGTTCTTTTGCAGTGGAGAAGGAGCAGCACTGGCGCCGAACCAGTATACACTGGGGATTTCTGGATGTTCTGACTCACATGCAGTGATGCGCAAAGGGATAGTTTGGGGTAGTAGTATTACTTGTTGCACTGTAGGTGCTCTGCTCCCGCCCCTTGCAGTTAGAAATAATTGTTAAGAACTAGATGTGGTACTGGGAGCTATATCAGGGCTAGCAGCAGGTCTCCACTTTCGGAGAACAAAATTGCTTCCAAAACATATGGCTACAGAGTATTTGTCCTGAATCTGACGTTTACGTGCAGTGTGCTAGAGGAAAGTTGGTTGGAGTTTCTTGGGATCAGCTGCTGCCTACCTGGCACTTCTGAGCTCTCCAGAGAGCTGCTGTTGGCATGAGGGCAGAGAGGAGAAGCTGGTAAGGCTGCTGTGGCTCTGCCTGATGATCCAGGCCCTGCCTCTGCCATTCACCATCCAGGAAGGGTGGAGAGTGAATGCTGCTTAGGAGCCCTTATTTTTTCAAGCAGCTATTTTAAGTCCTTTCCAGGGAGTAGATAGATTGTATCAGTACAAACTGGATATTTTAGTGAAACTTTAACTGCATTAGAAATGAAGGACAATTGAACAAAGTGCATAATCAGATACATAGCAAAGAATACTTTTGTAATGGACATTTCTAATTTCACCAGGTTTATGGCTATGGCTACGATCAGTACAATGGTGCATATCCCCCTACTGGTCCTCAAGTCTTCTATGCCTCCAATGGACAAGCTTATGCTGTTCCCTATCAGTATCCGTACCAAGGTAATCAGTATCAACCGTATCCTTCACCTTCCTACAGAAGCTATTTGAGTCAGTCTTTCTGGCTTTAATTCTATTAATCACCATCCTTTACCATCCACCACTCCTGCACAACAGAGTGATAGAAAGAAACCTGACTTATAACTGGAACCAAGTCCCCTTACCCTTTCACAACAAAGCGAGTGCAGTGAAATTTGTATTAAGTGATTTAACGTTCCCAGTGTGATCCCAACATATTTAAATTACTTCGTAAACTCTTTCTGAAGCACACAGAACTCTCTCGCTAACTACAGTAGGCAGCTTGTTTTCTAAAGAAAGACAGAAGAGCCAGAACAAGATTGATTCAGTACTCCATACTGGGCATCGATGGAGCTTTTGATTCATCTGTTGCTCTTATACCTAGCTTAATTATTTCAACACTGATGTTCAGCTATGACCTCAGAATTAAATGCAAGTTTCAAAGGTAAATCCACTCCCAAAGCATGGTGGTAACTGGTTCTTTCCCCTCATGCTGGAATTGCTGTAAGGCAGTACATTCAGCCTTGTGAACTATTCTATTGCTCTGTTCAGGTTTGTATAGCTTTCAAACCCAATAAAAGAGGAAAGAGACTAACATTTTAGGGTATCCCAGAGAATTGGGGCTTTAGAGTAGTATGGGTAATATAAATCAGAAGATTTAACTTACTAATTGTTTATGGTCTGGCTCTGCAAATAAGAATCTCTCTTCAGAAATGTTTTCAGTTTTGAGGGAGATTTTTTTTTTCCATTTGACATTTGTCAGGTTATTTCATTTGCCTTTTCCATTTTTTTTTACGAGAGGTGCATCAGCCTAAAGCTTTTAAAGCTTTCCTCATCTAAGTTAGTGAAGTCCTAAGATACAGATCATATATAAATACCAACACAGAGGAAGGTGGGTTCTGTTGGTTCTCAGCAGCTGAAAAGCAGCAGCTTGTTGAAGGTCCCAAGAACCGTTTTTAAAAACTACAAGCAGGCCTTGGAAATCAAGCCTCAGAAACCTGTATGATAAAAATGCAACATTAAAGAGTAACTCTCCTAAACAGTTTGCAAGTCCAGTGTGTTAAGATACTAGTTACAGGTTTGGCATAGTAACCAATGTTTTTCTCCACTAGGGTGACTGCAACTAAATCTTAGGAGTCACCTAAGCAACTAACTTAACCCCTGCACCTTTGGCTTCATTGCTCATTCTCTAAATTGACATAATCCTTCTCATGAGGTTCCCAGTCATGCATCATTGAGTCAGTGAGAGCCTTTTCCAGTTGTATCAGTTGGATTACTTCAGTATCTGTTATAAAAAACATTGCAATATCTTCAAGACTACTTAATCTTCCTGAAAAGTCCGGAAGGGAAAGCAATACCATTATGTTTGCTTTGCAGGTAGGAACTAAGTCACAAAACATGACAGGTGGAGCTTGTACAAGTCTGTTGCAGAGCAAGGGTCAGTTGGTGGTTTCTTGAGTCTTAGGTTATTTCCTTACTACTGGGCCAATCTTCATCTGAAAAGAAACATAGCAGCTGTCACCACACAAGATCAGTCCAGGATGTGAAGGCTGAATTGAAGTAGTAGGCAGTAATTGTAAGGTAAATAACTGATACACAGTTTCTGACAAACCACTGGCTTAAGAGCTGCCAAAGATTTTTTGGAGGGGGGAACTATGCTGTTTGCCTTAACTTCAAGGCTGAATCAATTTTTAGACCCATTGCTTGCATTAAATCCACTAAGTGTTTGATAGAATGATACAAGTAATTCATAGGTTCTTTGCTAATATAAATGCAGAACAATGTTCCATTTTACATTTGTGATGACCTTTTCTCCCAGATATTAAACTCTTAGGAGGCTAGAAGTGTTGCTAGGCCTCTGGATTTAGTTAATAAATGTGGAGGCTGAATCCAAAGCAGAGATGTATTCTACCTTTGTAGCTGACATCATCTTAGTGTTCAATGAAAGGACGAGAGTGAAAGAATGGGCATGTTTTGAAATTGCAATGCATGGTATTAAGACATACATTTCTTTTGGCCTCCTCCTAACAATCTCTTATTACCTAGGACCTTATGGCCAACCCCCTGCAAACCATGTCATCATTCGAGAGCGTTACCGTGACAGCGATGGAGATCTTGCACTGGGCATGCTTGCTGGAGCAGCGACTGGAATGGCTCTGGGATCATTATTCTGGGTCTTCTAGATTACCCGTTCCTTATCTTTGTAGTTCCAAAAACCTTTATTGTGTGCAATAATATATTGGCAATGTTGTTTACTGTTAAACTTTAAGAGATGCAATAGTTATTTTTCAGTAGTGATATCTTAATAACTGATTCTTAACTGTCCTAAGGAGAGTTTAAAGGCACCATTTAGTTAAGTGGTTGGAGATGGCATGTGCTGCTTTTGAATTCTGTTCTGATGTTTAGAGATGTAAGGATTTGTACTGATAAGGATCAATATGAGAACCAATGTAACATGGTAGCAGTCACTAGCTTTATGAACAGACTGTTTTGTAAACGCCATAGAAAAAATGGATTTTTGGGGGGTCTAAAATCTGGTCCAAATAGGAAGTTTACAGGAGCCCTGCATTAGTATATATGTACCACTGGCTTCTGAACATTCCCTGGACAAACATAAAGCTCAGCAGAAACTCCTTGGCATTAGGTAGTCTGCCATGCTTGAGGATTTTTTTGTTTTCAAACTTGCCTGCAGATGGTAGTGTATTTTCTTAGATGGTGTCCTATACCTGTCTCTCACACCATCCAGGTAAAGATGTCTTTGAGAACGTATAAGCAAACCGCTAAGAAGCAGCAGCACTCCTCAGTTCTTTTATTCTCCCAGAAATGTGAATGACCAGTGCCAAGGAAGACCAATGTTTTTTGTTCCACCTCCCTCTTTATCCTGAATCACTCTTCTCTGGTCAGATGGAAATAATGGATCTTTAGCTTTGCAAGTGGTCTTCCTTGTCCGTAGCACAGTCGCCCCAGACACTGTACCAACTGCATTGCTGAGGAAGAGGCCATCGTCTAGTGTCTCTGCTCATTACTGCTGTTGCTCTGCAGAGTCTGCAGGAGGAGAACTAACTTGAACAACCCTTGCCCTGTTGGGCCTACCAGAACCCCTCTGCAGGCAGTAATAGTCAAGGGGGAAGAGACAAACAGCACAAGTAGACCTTGCACACAGGCACTTTGATATCAGCTGCCTTGCCATGGCTAGGATAGAATGTCTGCCTCTTAGCCTCCAAGGTTTTCTGAACCAGGTTCATTATTTGCAACTAGTTTTGAGCACAGCTGAGCCTGGGTTTGTTCTATGCACGCTTCCCTCTCACATTCAGCAGGTCTCTTCTTCCCTCCATGACTCGTTAAGGAAAACACTCCAAGGAACCTGGCTGGCTTTGCTTGTATGTCTGGTCCTTATACAATGTGCTGCTGCAGGCTGCTGTGCTATGGACTGTAACCTGGAGTGCAAATGTTATGTGTGTTATGTGGCCTATTACCTTATCCTGTTCTAATCCATGCTGAGCTGTGCTTGGCAGGGAAAAGAAAGCTCTGAAGAAATGCACATGCTTTCTTATTCAGGTAAAAGAGGCAGGGTGCCTAAGTTGAGTTCTTTACAGTAAGAGGACTTATTTTTATACTTCCACTTTCAGCTTCCTGTATTGATACTGTTTTAATGTGTTAAGGCTTTCTTTTGCTTTCATTCAGAAGTAGGTTCATTTCCTTAAGGTTCACGGGGTTTCAGGTATGTCAGGAAAGATGAAAATAGATGAGAACTTGCACCCCATATAAATTTAGATCAAGCCTCAACCTTTTTAATTTCATCCTAAAGCTGTCTTGGCTCTATCCTACATATTTAAGCAATAGGGGTCTTGGACAAGAGTTTGAGTAGCAGCCAGGGGAAGCACTAAGCTTTCATGACTCTTAGGACCAACTCAACAAACTGAAATCATCGGAAGGAAACAGACGGATGTAATCTTGGCTGCATTACTAAGAGTAGGCCTAATCCAGGGAATGTAAACTTCTTTCAAGAAACTCTGGCTCAGAGCCATACACCAATGTGCATGCATGTCCTTTCACAGATCAATACAAGCTGCATATGTTCTGCCAGTGGTCTCTAACTGAAAGGACTTGCTGGAGGTTCAAAAGAGGACCAAAGCAGAAGTTTTCTATTGCTCATCCAAACCAAAAGAAATTGAGTACAGTACTGAAGTTCTCTTAGAGGCCCAGTACCTGTAAGGTCAGAAAGAGATGGTGATGGTCTGGAACTTAAGTGAACACACATTTCTACCCTTGTTAAGCCTTGAGATAACCTTGAAGCTGATTACAGGTCTACACTGCTGTTTAGTTTGTGCTTTGCGATATAACTAGTTCTGCAGAATGCCTCCATCTCCTCTGCTCCCTGTGTGATATTTAGCTTGTAAGGGTGGGGGAGAATAAAACAATTGAACATCATTGTGATTTCTTTTGAATTTCGTAATGATTGTGAAAGAATAGCACAAAGCGAATCAGCTAGTAATTTATTTTAAGTTCAGAGTTTTGTTGTGTGGTTTGTTTTTGGTTGGTTTTTTTTTTTTTTTTTTTTTTTTTTTTTTTTTTTTTTTTTTTTTTTTTGCAAGAGCTGTTGATCACAGCAGGGAAACGCGTCTCTTGTGCTTTCAGGAGATAACTGTATCTAGGTCCCCAGTTTCTTCAAGTGAAGTATGTAAGATAAAGACTCTGTTGATTGCAAAACATTCCTGGGTTGAAATAAAAGCAAGAAATGATCTTTTTAAAAGTTCAAATTTAAGTAAGTCTCCAGTAAAAAAATAACCTTACCCCTTCTCAAGGGGAAAAAAAAATACAAATTGAAGCTGAAGATTCTAGTTTTATCTTGGTAACAATAGGCTGCTTTTATACAAAAATCACGAGCTACTTTTCTATCCTGGTAGCATAGGCATTCAGAAGCTAGAAAGCAAATGTACAAAACTGTGCTAGAGCATAAAATCAAGAGAGTAGTTATCTTATTGCAGGTGCTTGTAGCCTGTCTGATCTCAGTGCAGAAGCAGAAGTGGAAATGTCTTGGTGCACAAAGCAGCAGCATGGGGATAGCCACTTGAATTCACTGGTTGTTAAAGCTCATAGACTTGCTTCCTGAAGACGTGGCCGTACCTCCTGTTGCTCAGGAACAGAGTGGAGGTTTGGTCATATCTATAATAATGTCCGGCTGGATACATAGTCATGACTCAACAGCATTTCTCTGCCCAGTCCAGTACTTAATATATCTGCAGTTTGTGTAGATGCTGGTTGTGAGCTGAAGGAGCAGGGCCAGTGTGAATTTTGGGGCTTGGAGGGACTGCCATGCCAGCTTCTGCAGATAGGCGATACTATAGTGATGGGAAGAGGCAGTGGGTGTGGCAAGACCATTTTCAAAACAGATTGAAATGATAGTCCTGAACAGGTGTTTGTTTCTGAATGGTGCTATGCATGATGCTGTGATTCCAGTTATACCTGCATAGCACCCAAGCACATGCTTTCCTACATGAGGCCCAATACTTGACCTCCCTAAAACTATGGGGAGGTCCACAGCCACGACAGTGCCACTGTTTTTTGCAGTGTACACCATCAGTTAAGGATGACTAAATCTGTTGTATAGCAGTTACAGTCCGTTCAGAATTAAATAGCAGTGCTTACAGAGGTCACGAGCCTATATGTTCATCTGTGACTAGTTACTTTTCGATTCTGAGTTATAGACAGCTGGACAGAGCCAGGCTTCCAGAGAAGGGGGTGGAAATGCTCAGCATTCTGCAAAATCCAGCCATTTTAAAGAGGTGAACCAGGGTCCCCTCCCAAATTCTTAGTTACATGTGAAAACATAGCTGTTGGCTTCTTTTGCTTAAATGTGGGGGGATAGGGAGCAAGGTGCTTCTAGTGAGTGGGTAAAGGCTTATGAACTAGAGAGGAAGGGGTGGGAAGTGTTCGTGTACAGAGCAACTGCTCTGACTTTTGGCAAAGACACATCATTTCTAGTGCTGAAGCACACTCTGAGCTGTGTCTAGACAGAGCTACCCTAAATGTCACACAACACTGGCTTCATTTCGTTTGTTCTTCAGTGGAGATTCAATAGGTGATGGAATCAGATAAGCAAACTGAGTAAAGGAGAAAATTCACACCCATGTTCCTCAAATGTGTTTGTGGCTTTTCCTCCTCATGATATGACTAAGATAGATATGTGTAAGTCATGGAGGGTAGCATGCAGCAAATGTTTCGCCTCCCCAGATCCTTCATGTTCTTGTGCACTATCTTAACTGCTGTTTTACTGTATGTCCTCATTCTCGTTATTAATTTATAGCAAAATACCCTTAGCAATAAAATTCATATTTAAGTGTAATTGTTTTGTCTTGACATGTTTACTAGCCTTTGTTCAACGTTTCTCATTTAGTTAGTCTGTGGACGGCTGTACGTTCTTCAAACATGTAGTCAGCTTACAGGAGGTTTCCTCTGCAAGGAAACAGTGCCATGATGAATTCTGTGCACCTCCAGTCTTTCCTAAGCAATTGCAAGGCTGGCTTTGCTTGGTAGAAAAATGAACTAAGACAACTGTGGCTGTTGGAGTTAGAGCTGAGGCTGACATACCTCGGTTATCTCAGTTACCAATTAATGAAGATGATGTAAGGTCTGTGAAATCAGCAAAGTAACTCTGCACTAACACCGCTATACCAAGATTAGAATTAAGGCCTATTTCTTTTGTAATGGAGTTGAAGGCTTTGACTCAGAAATGCTTAATCTTGGATATATGCAACGCTGATCCAGATTTACCATTGGACATTGTGTTATCAAATCAACAGATTTGTACTGTTTAGTATTACAGTAAGCAGCTTGGAGCACAGATGTTGCTCTGGGCAGAATGCTACTGGTTGCTGTATTGGTATTTTCTGTTTATGGATTGCTTCAGTGGAGTTGGGTACAATCAATAAGTTTGCTTAGACAAAGACACTAAATGACCACAACTAGCTCCACCACCTAAAGGCAGACTATCTTGTACGTTTGCTGGGAATTAAACTATTTGTCAGAAGGACCACAGTGCATTTTGTAAACCATTATCCTTGCTTTATGCACATTTGGTTTTTACTGTTGAGGGGTGGTAGTTTTTTTAGCCACTAATCCGGGGGAGGAATGAAAACAAAACTGCTATTTCAACCAATCAGTTATTGTAGGAGTACACGTCTCTCCTCTCCCCAGCATGCTATGCTGGCTATGCTTATTTTATCAGTCATCAGTTCCATATGATGGATTTACTAGGCTAAGCAGACCGTTATGTACACTTAACCCTGCCCACCAGAGAGCCCACCTTTACTGAAATTTCTGCACCAGAACAAGCTAGGGAACTAAATTTGCTGTGCAAGGCTTAGCAGCTGCATACTTTCCTGAACTGCCATGCTCCTGAACTGGGAACAGCTTCGAGAATGGGCTTTGCCTCTTGCTGCTTTCCCTTCTCCTGCTGCATTCCCTGTCCCGTTTGTGGTCACTAAATGCAACCACAGTAATTAACTTGGGTTGTATTCCTA